TGTGTGTGTGTGTGTGTGTGTGTGTGTGTGTGTGTGTGTGTGTGTGTGTGTGTGTGTGTGTGTGTGTGTGTGTGTGTGTGTGTGTGTGTGTGTGTGGTGTGTGTGTGTGTGTGTGTGTGTGTGTGTGTGTGTGTGTGTGTGTGTGTGTGTGTGTGTGTGTGTGTGTGTGTGTGGAGGGGTGATGGGTGGGATGCAGCGACAGCTCCAGACTCTGCAGTGAAACGGCTGTAATGGAGCTGATTGATCACCTATATGGCCGCCTGCTGGCCCCACTGGCTTTAGCATACAGCAAACTCCCAACCCCCCCCCCGTCCCCCCCCGCCTCTGCGTCACCGCCGCCATCACCGAGCCAATCTTCCAAGACCCACCATCCCCCATAGACTTCAACCTGGCCACGGTTTTGACATTGGCTGCAGGATTGACTTCTTCACGTCGGCGGTGTTCGGCTCGCCGTTCTTCTGCGTGTGTTCCGTAGTAAAGAAAGGTACCGAAAGACATTTTCAAATTCAGTCTTTTTTCTGGTGGAGCAGCAGAATAAAAAAAGCGGACGTTTCCATTTAGATTAAAGGGCATAATCAATCAATGATAACATTTGCAGATCTCTCTCCCTGCCCCCTACGTGTCACACGGGGTCATAACCCTAATCTATCCGGGGTGTTGAGGGTGATTAAACTCTGAGATTAGAACAAGCTGTCAAGGGCAGATCTCGCTCAGACAGACAAAAAAAACGTCTTCTTTGTTTATTCTTTTCTACAGCCTTCCCCACAGTTGAATTAATATTGCACACTACAAAAAAACATTTATCCCATTTGCAGTAGAAAAAGTGGATATTCTGCTGTGAAAGAACAAAGAAAATGTCATCCCTTTAACGTTAATTCACTTTAAATGAACTATATTTAACACACCCGTGTGTAGAAAATATAATATCTTTGACACATTAACCAGCACTAGCATCTGACTCGGACTGATGTGTGGCTTACTGTTTTCGAGCCTCGGTCACAATATTGTGACAGTGACAGTGTGTGTTCATGCTTGCAGTGACCACACAGTGCCGAGCCGCTGTAGTGTCATCCTGTGTCCTGCTTTCGCTTTCCTGCATCGGGCATCTGTCTTTTTTTTTGTGTGCAGCCAGTGTGTGTGTGAGTCACTATTTGTGTGTGTCAGATGACTGTTTGTATTTTGTATCACATGCTCTATATGTTGATCAGTGTTTGCATGTGAGCAGAATTCAGTGGGATGGCTGCGGTGCGTCCTCCTCCACGGCCAGCCCGTTCGCTGCATCGTGTGTGTGTGTGTGTGTGTGTGTGTGTGTGTGTGTGTGTGTGTGTGTTTGTACGCGGCTGGAAAAGAGAAGAAATTGATCAGCACAGGGAGGAACGTGTTCACCGGCAAAGGCTGGATGGAGGGTGTGTGAGAGAGAGAGAGAGAGAGAGAGAGAGAGAGAGAGGGAGGGAGAGAGCGAGGGCTGTCGCTGCAGACTCCTGCTGCAGTATCTCACTTTGGGCAAGCAGCTGCAGACAGGGAGTAACAGGCAGAGAGACAAGCAGACAGGTACAGACCTGGTGTGATGGGAGGGGACGAGGGGGGGGGGGGGGGGGGTGGAACAATTGGTAGAGGGCAGTAGACGCTGGAGAGGCAGAGCTTGGGGTGGAAGGGTCAAATGTGGGAGGGGGGATGGTGAGAGGAAAAGGTAGCGGGTTGCGGCGGCGGGAGTGAATATTTTTGGCTTTTGTTTTTCTTCTTCTTTCATCGTGTTGGACCTGTGGCGACAGAGAGGACAAATATAAAAGTAGATGACAGTGTCAAGACATGGCTGATGGTCCTGGTGTCTGGAGGAGGGAGGAGGAGGAGGAGGAGGAGGAGGAGGAGGAGGAGGAGGAGGAGGAGGAGGAGGAGGAGGAGGAGGAGGAGGAGGAGAGGAGGAGTGGTGGTGGTGGGGGGTAGGATGCTGGGATGGAGCTGACAATGCAAGTGCTGCTGTGCTGGTGGGGGTGGGGGGGGGGTAGCGTCCCACCTCAGTGACCTGCGTCTGGCTGCAACCTCCCGCGGACAACTCCCCCCCCCCCCCATCTTTCTTGCACTCCCTTCTTCTTCTGCCGCTTTCCCCTCTGTTCTTCTTCCTCTTCTTCTTCTTCTACAGCTCGGAGGCAGATAACAAAAGCCGTAGTCGGGGGGGGGGGGCAGACAGAGGAGCGAGCATGCGAGGCAACATGTCGGGTGGTGCGGAGCATTCATTTCCGGAAGCCTCCACTTTGCCCGGCGTTCCCCAGAGAGGAGACAGTCAGAGACATCTATCCATTTTTTTGTTTAATGTCTGAGGGGGAGGAGTTGTGAGGCGGGTGGCAGGCTGGGAGGCTGAGGAGGTGGGGTGGGGTGGGGGCAGTGGTGTGTTTGGGGACATGAGAGGCAAAAACGTTTTATTAGAATATAACCAATATACATTTGTATTTACTGCATTTTATGGCAATTCATTATGTTTCTGTTGGATAAAGGCTTTAATATGTCTGACTGCGGCTTGTTGCCTGAGACAAGTCATCTCATGTTAGCCGCCATCGCTGTAGAGTTTGATGTGTAGGGTGGTGTGGTCTGGAGTCCAGGGTGGTGCAGTCACTGTGGAGTTTACCTGTGTTCTCCTCCACGCTGAAGATATCCGAGCGTATCGTGTGGTGTAAAGCCAGAAGCTGATCGAGTTCTTTGAGTTCTCCGCTCAATGTAAAGGGACGCTCGGCTTCCAACAGTCGGGTCCAACCTTCCTGGAAGAGACAAACACAGACTGATGATCGGCCGGTGCTGTTTAGGACAAAGAGGCGAGCCTGGCTGTTTGGCTTCTTTTTTCTCTTCAGCACAAAGGCTAGTAAGCTCAGAGCAGCCCGGTCTGTCTGAGCCTCTGCTTCTGTCTGGGTGCTGCCATGAAGATCATTTAAGTCCGGCTTCCTTCAACAAACTAACGGCTTCATCTGCCTTTTTCATCTCTTTTGCTGTTGGCGTGTCATTTAGTGTGTGTAAGCACGTGTGTGTTTCTACCTTTGCATGCTTTCCTTTACACAACCAAACTCAGCCTTCTAAAGAACACAAGTTATCTGCAGTGGAGGAACATGGAGACCTTTTTGTGTGTCCAATACACCGATTTATTTTAAATGGAGCCCATTTCTCATTAAATACAGACACTTCTTGGACGTGGATGCCTCTGTGTGTGTGTGTGTGTGTGTGTGTGTGTGTGTGTGTGTGTGTGTGTGTGTGTGTGTGTGTGTGTGTGTGTGTGTGTGTGTGTGTGTGTGTGTGTGTGTGTGTGTGTGTGTGTGTGTGTGTGTGTGTGTGTGTGTGTGTGTGTGTGTGTGGAGGGGAGGGAGGGAGGGAGAGAGAGGGAGAGAGAGGGGAAAGGTGGCGCTCGGTGCCCTGCAGCTGACTGCGGCTCCTCAGCAGACCCTGTCGTACTTCACCTGCTCCCTGAGACCCTAACTTGTGAGCTCTTTTGATATAAAACCACGGGTTAGGCTCTTGGGACGTGGGCGGAGGGCACAATCGACTTTCTACCAAATTTCCGAAAAATGAGGCATCAATGATTTAAAATGTATATATGGTAGAGACGACGCTAAGGAAACAGTCGAGTAAAATGAAGAGCGAATGGTTTTTTACTCTAGAGCTGACAGAACTGTATATTAAGGAATGTGCATGTTTGACTTTTTCGAAGAGATATAGCGAGAATGACGTTAATGAACTCAGCAGTGTCATCGCCATAAAACCGAATCCCTCGCTGCACGGTGCCGTCGACGACATGTAATCTGTCTTTGTGTCAACATCTTTGTTTAAATACCATTCTAGTTACAGATGATCTGATTAGACCACCACACCCAGCCTGATGAACCCCTGTCAGCATCAGGGACCGCCAATATATCTGATCCTCCATTACCAACACGGTCTTTGTGTTCCACATCACTCCGCCGCTTGTTCCACATTTTAAACTAAAGACTGTGATACACACTTTACAAATTCAGCTTTCAGTAGTCTGTTCATTTCATTGAAACCCCCGACCAGAGCTTGCGCATTTATGTGTTTTTTAATACTCACACACATTCTGTGATTTTAGTTGTACTCCTTAACGAGTTTTAGCATTTCTCTGCAAACTGTCAGAAAGTGCAAGAAATGATTGTGAGTAATCATATTGTTTATTAAAATCCATATAAAAATGAAGCATCTGATCTTTCAGAATTTCCCAGAAGAGTTATTTAAATTAATGTTTCAAAGTTTTAACCTTATAATTTACAAATATATGGAATCCCCAGGTAAAAATTGCCAAACATGTATTATCATTTGATAAAAAAAATGTAAACTATTTAATCCAAATAGAAACTAGAATTTACAAGCTTAATTTGTCTTTATTTAAAGTATTGACATTTATATCATTTCCAGAAAATTGCTAAGCATTGTTAAAATAAGAAAAAAGGACAAATCATAAATGCCATATTTATTAATGTTAAATAAAAATCAAACCACTTTTAAAGTGCTCATCAGTTCCACAGGAATTGTGTTACTTCCTTAACTTATTTTAGTTGTAATGTTTCATTGTCATGAGATGTTTCAGCCACAATGTTGTAAATCAATATTTAAAGTGAAGTCAAGGAAATTAATTCAACACCACAGGCCGCAAAAAATGACAAGATTGAACATTGAATAGAAAATGAAAAATTGCCCTTGTCTTCATAATAACATGACTATAGGAGTCAAATGTAAATAAATGAGGCCCTTTAAGGGAAGTGGTCTGTTTCCTTATGCGATGCTGGGATTTCACTCACCATAACAACCTGACTTTCAGTTTTTCCCAAGACCGCGCCTGTCTGAAAACCTTATTTCTGCAAAGTGACCCATATTACAGATGCAGCTCAAAACAATTGATTTTCTTTCGAATACTCTCCTCTGCACCCCCCCCCCTGTCTCCAGTCTCCCTCTCTCCCTAATTATGTTTTTTTTTGTTCTTCTCGTCCCCCCATTTGGTTTCTAAGTGAACAATGCTGATGCCAACTAATCAGTGCCTGTGCCACAGAGCCCCAGCAACAGCTGAAGGAGCCCCCTGAATACCAAACAGCCAGGCACAGTGCGACAAGTGCTGAGCAGTCAGACGCAGCACAGCCTGAGCGGAGCGCTGCCCAGAAACAGCCAGACAGTTTTATTAGGGTCTGTCTGACAGAGTCTGGAACACGGTAGCTGATGGAATCCTCACGACTTCCCGAACAGTAACAAAGCAGCATGTTTCCGCCAGGGACCCAATAAATATCACCCCGTTAACATCAGCTGCCGGCTAGTTTGTGAGTCCGCTGAACGGTGAATAACAACTTTCTTCAAAGTCACACTCAGTTAGAAACTACTAAATTCATCTCTTCTGTGCCATCCACACTTCACACTGTGTCTGATGCAACAAGGAACCAACAAGGAAACTCCTGCAAGCTGCACATTTAGTGACTGGTTGGTAATGAGTATTAAATGTACATTTATTTGACATCAGAATGGCTTTGTTTTAAACAACAGCGGCAATTGTCATTTTTATTTAAGTGTCATCAAATATTCAAATTTCAATATAATAAGATGCTTTCTTAGAAAATCTGTAAGTGGTTGTCAAGGTCAAATGACTTAACAGCAGGTGTAATAGCAGCTTATGATGTCTTTCAATACAACCATTTATGTACTATGTTTAGACAAAGCCACTCAAATTATTTTACACAAATGAAAATAATAATGGCGAGAAAAACAAGTTTATAAAAACTAATCACCAAGCAGACCTTCAGATTTACTTTTTGTTACCGGGACCTTATCAAAATGTATTGTATTATAAAATATGGAGTGATACGTTTTATCCTCACTTGTCCTTAATAAACCAAATTCACGATGCGGTTTCTACTCGTCAGGTTCCTGCAGCAAAGATTGATTCAGACCGTGAATAGGTGTAGATAAACCAAAGGCTCCAGCTGATGGACCCGAGTGTGTGTGAGAGATTCCACTCCATTGTTCAGAGGTGGTCATGTAACACACCGCGCCGCCACGTCGATCCCAGATAAAGTCAGGAGGACAGATTAACGCTGATCCTCTGAATCTGGATTTGGGCTGGAGCTAACATGGAAATGGCATGGATTTGATTGAATTAGCTTGTTTTATTTTTAATGTCATGTTGTGTTGTCTGCTGAAGCAGCTTAGTGTTCAGTGGATCACAGCAGGATGGGGGAGGAGGGGAATATGGGGGGTGGGGGGGGCTTCAGGTATGCCTGATAGCCGAGCAGCGTGGAATGGCACGTGAGTTTCCAGACACTGCGGCAGGAGGCCAGACAGTCACCTGAACACACACACACCTAAGCAAAAGCATGCATGCACATATTGTATACACAAAGCCCCCCCCCCCCCCCATACACACGCTAATTCAATTGAGTTGTTATTAAATCAAAGGTATACACTGTGCTTGACCTAATGTAATTATCCCGTGCATCAAAAGCAAACAACTTTGTCTTTTATTCTCTGGGCGACTGTTTCAGATACATTAAGTGCTGTAGGGGGGGGGGGGGGTCTAATGAAGGGACAGTCGAGCCGCGCTGAGATTTTGAGGATGTTCACGGTGGGCCTGTGGGTTCAGAGGAGTCTGGAGACCTGGGCGGAGGATTAAAAACAACAAAGCTCAAGAGGGCCAGAGGTCTCAGCCGACCCACTGGAACCGAGTGGTGCAGGGATCACGTCTTTCTGTAGGGTGACCTGAGAGTTAGCAGAGCAAGGGTTCCCTGAACTAAATAAATGATACGTTATATTCGATTTTAGAATAGTGCGGAAAATAAGATATGTGGCAAACACACATTTATGACACTTGCACGTTGGTAGGATAATTGCTAAATATTAAAACCACGTTTATGATTTTTTAAGCGTAAATGCAATCACCAGAAGTAAAAAGATAACATCAGTCTATAAACAAACAGCATGGTCTCATTTGGTCACTACTACTGCCCTTTTTGTGATACTTAAAAACTTCAGACATGCACCAGTAAGGTATTTACTGATGTCAAAATCTCTTCTGCTTGTGTTAACCACAGACCTTATTTCATCTGACCAAAAACACGTTCAGGAAAACCATTGACTTCGAGATGAGGAAACCCGGAAGAGATAAATGCTAACTCATTCCTCATGTGTGTGTGTGTGTGTGTGTGTGTGTGTGTGTGTGTGTGTGTGTGTGTGTGTGTGTGTGTGTGTGTGTGTGTGTGTGTGTGTGTGTGTGTGTGTGTGTGTGTGTGTGTGTGTGTGTGTGTGTGTGTGTGTGTGTGTGATGGTCAGTCCTCTCCAGGTTTGGTCTTATATCCCCTTCTCTCTCTCTCTGGTCTGTGAATCACTTCGGAGGCGTTGCCAGGGAAACCTGGTATCTGGCTAGCAGCTTGATGGAGTTGTTGAACTGTAACTGGCTGGGATAATTACGCTCTGTCTTGCAGTCTGGCCGTCCAGGGGCTGGGACTTAAATGTGACCTATTGCCGGCGTAGCATTGTCGCCACAGGCAGAACAGAAGCTTTTAACCCCTCGGACACTGGACAGTTGGACTGCAGTGGCTCTGGCAGATATCAGAGTGTCTACTTCCATACTGCTGCTGCATTAGTGCTGAAGTCAGTTATTTTGTAAACATTTGATGGCCTCTTGTTATCATATGACAGAGCTTTATCGTAAAAGGTTTCTTGCATCACAGGAGCTCCATTTGCAACATTAACAAGGAAACAGACATTTTCAGTGTTTCCCCTAGGTTTACTGCTTTGGGGGGGTGCTGTCTGAGCTTTTCAACTTAAAATGAAAGCGTTTAGTTTATTTAATAAAAGAGCACATGTTCAATGTGAAAAGTGACAGTAGATATAGATTAGTTGCAATTTGGTGCTATATATATATATATATAAAAAAATATATAAAAAAAAACATTATCATTTATTTTATTTTTTAAACACCTTGAATTTCAGGGGGGCGCGGGGCACCGTTGGCGGGGCGCAGCGCCCCTCCAAGACAATGGTAGGGTAAACACTGAACATGACATTACAGTCACGGAAGTAAATATGTTTAGGACCTGGGATATTTCCCAGCTCTACATTTAATTTAAGGATTGACAAATGCTCTAACTTAATTAAATCGTGGGACCCTGTGTCTCTAATTTGATGGCAACTTGTCATATTCTCTGTTCAGGACATGGTAGTGGTCAGAGACAATGTTGCTAGCAAGCCTCAGTATATTATTATGGCATGTTGATTTATAGAGTTTTTCAAAGGGTGTACCTACAATCTTTGAGCAGATTTTCATTTACTGTAGCCGTTTTTACTTTTCAGCCGTTGACAAACACTTGGAGTATTGCAATATTGTAGAACACTGATAATCACAGATGTAAAAAAAAACTGAAGAAAAACGTGTCTACTTTCCCTAAAAGACCTAAGGCATGGAAAATAATTAATTATTTGTAGATTTACTTAATGTGGTCTTTCCATCAAAGCAGATCATTACACCCAAGTATTTATATGACACTACCTGCTTTAGTTGTTCAGTATGGGGGACTTTGTGAGAATCAGATGGGGGACCAAATACAATTTCCTCCGTTTTCATTTTGTTGGTCTACGAGTATTATTAACACTATACTCAACCTCTTTGTTCACACCATGTTGGCTAGATGTTAGTGGTCGCTGTAGCACACACACACATATGTTCAGCTCACCTCGCCACATTCTGCTGATTTGCTTTGTGTCCATCAAATGGGTCATGACCACACATTCCTGCTGAGTCCTCAAGTGTCTCCTCTCAGCCCCGGCAGGTGGACACTTCAATGATCACTGTGTGTTTCACAGGCATCACCACTAAAGAGTTGATGTTTCACGTAGACCTTCTGCTACAGTTTTTCTATAATGGTTTCCAGTGACATGGTGATCCCTCCTGTATTTTCTAATAAAAAACACTTCAGTACATAAACTAAATTGCTATCATTATCTCCTCTGGTTTAGGAGCCCTGTCTGTCTCTCTCCACAATCAAAGGTAAGATTTGTCACAACTTATTTAACAAAATGTTCAAAAGATTCTGTTACAATTAATAGTTACCTGTAGTAAAATGTGTAATCAGTAATAATAATAATAATGGGTTTAATTTACAACGCACTTCATATCTGAGTTCAGATCCCGAAGTGCTACAAGCATTTAGCATGGAACTAAATAAAAACAGTACACAACACGGTAGAATGAATAAAAAGCAGTAAAAAAACAAACAATAAAAAAAAGAAAAGGGTATAATAAATAAGATAAAAGGTCTAGGAAAAGGCTCTATTGAACAGATGGGAGTTGAGGCCTTTTTGAAAAGCCTCCACGGTCTGTGGATTAGTAACCTAATCTGTGTATACAACATGAAAGTAATTCTGTTCATTTTGGATGTATGCAATGCAAATAAATACAAGAGAAAATAAATATCAATAAGATGTTAGTTCTTTATTTTTTATTTATTTTATTTAGTATGAAAGTTTCCTCTGCTGGGAGATCTTATTTATTTATCATTCAGCATATTCAGGCAGTAGCCTCTACACCAACACTGAAACACATGAGCACATGCTACAGTTTAAAAAAGCAGAAATAAAGTCTGAGCTGACAGAAAATGCTCCGTGTTAGTTTAATACACACAGTTAAGCTCACACACTATTTAATGTACATATAGGTTCACCTGCTGAATTAAAAACAGAACAAATGAACCAAAGAAAGTGAAAAGCATAAAGCAGATTCAGGCAGTAGGCGTATAGATTCACACTTAAAGTATTATCCTACAGAACAGTACAGTTTACAGAGAAGAAATAACATCTGATCCTTTACAACAAACGCTAGATGCTCTTTTGAACTTTTTAGTGACATTGTAATCCTGTTAGTAATCCTACATTTTTGAAAAGTAACAGTAATCTAATTATTTGAATATAACTTTAAGGGAATACATTTCTTTGTACCCTGATTACGTAATCTGTTACTCCCCAAACCTGCTTACTTGTATAATGCTGCCTCCTTGGATGTGTGCTTATTTGATTTGTGCTCTTTATTTAAAATGTTAGTTTAGACTTTTATTCATAAAAATGTGTGCAATATCATGTGCAATAAATATCCTGTGCAATTCACGCTCTAATTTTTCTTTAAATGTATTTTTCAATCTGTAAACAGTACCAGCTACTCTATATTTTGATATGGTCTTTTTTTTTAACTATACTGCTACTTCGATTTTTTTTATCTGTTATTTGTTTTTGTTTGACTTATTGTGTTTATATTACTAATAACATGTGTCTACTTTTTTTAATATGATATGTAAGTCTACTCTTTTGAATGAATCTGCACTCTTGCTGTTGTAGTACCATACATTTCCCTGGCAAATAAAGGAACTCTGATGATCTGCTCTTTATCTGCACTGTCCCTTTGCTGTAACATCTGCACTGTCCCTTTGCTGTAACAATGTCCCCCTCTGTCACAAATAAAGGATTTCTGATTCTGATGTCCCTGCGTGATGTGTTCTTGTTGTGCGACCGCCCTGTTTTGCGTGCACTCTTCCAGCAGCAGTGAGAGACAGACGGCCTGCTCATGATCCGCAGGCTGCCCGGAGCCCGCTGAGCAGAGGGAGCAGAGACGACCTTTTACTCTGCTTCGTCCCACTGCACTCACTTAAAACAGTGATGGATGTTCCTCCTTAACACCCGCTCCCCACCAGTGCTGCTATTCTCCCCCCTCCCTCCCTCCTCCCCTCCCCTCTCCTCTAACACCACTCTCCCCTTATGTTGTACCATCTCCTCTCCAGGGTTGGGAGGGTACCTTTAACAATGTAATCCGTTACAATGACTAGTTACCTGTAAAAAAATGTACAC